GAAGAAAAAGAAAGAAAGAAAGAAACAAGTGTTTACTACAGATAGATATGAGCCTAAAGTTCAGATATGCCGTGTGATGCTGTGTGACTTCAGGTAAGGGACTTCTCCCTGCAGAGCTCAAGTTTTCTCATCCATATGGTGACAGCACAGAGACATTTCACAGAAGAAACACACAGAGCCAACAAACATGTGGCCACACTCAACACCTTCATGTTGGGGAAATGTAAATCAAGATTATAATATGTTGTCATTTTGCAGCAGTTTGGTGATTTTAAAAATACAAAAGCCATACAGTGCCAGGTGTTGGAGAACATGTGGAATCACTGAATTTTGTATATATTTTATATATATTATATTTTTCTATTTTCTATTTTTCTATTTCATATTTATTTTATAGATTACTTACAGATAAGTTTGTGCAGCTATGTAGAAAGCTGATTGCTGTGACTCACTAGGGCTGCGTATTTATATACTGCATGACTCAGATTCTACTCCTAGGGAGATGCATGAGAGAAAGATCTAAAATTTATTCATGGGCTGGGGGTTTGGCTCAGTGGTTCCGCTGCCTGCCTCACAAACAGAAGGGCCCGAGTTTGATCCCCAGTACCAAAAATAAAATAAAATTTATTCGTGTGCAAGCAACACGTTCTAGAGCACAATACTGTCAGATGACAGAGACCGTCCAACTGCCAACTGGAGAGAGGACAAACTGAGGCAGCCACGTGGTGGCCACACGCAGTACGTAAAATGAGTGTGCTACACCAGAAGTACCCAAACCCTGGGCCACAGAGCCCGTCAGTGCCTGTCAGGAAGCTGACTTCATAGCAGGGGATGAGTGGTGAGCCAGTGGACAAGGCTGCATCTGTATTTATAGCCAGGCTTACACCGCCGCCTGACCTCCACTTCCTGTCAGGTCAGCCGCGGTACCAGATTCTCACAGCAAACTGCACATTTGAGGGATCTAGATTGTGTACTCCTTTGAATCTTCCCACAACCTTCTGCCTCATCCTAACCGTGGAAATACTGTCTTCCGTGCAACCGATCCTTGGTGCCAAAAAGGCTGCGGCCTTCTGATCTACACAACCCAAGACAAGAGAGATGGCCCTTAGCAAAATAATGCTGAATGGAAAGAGTAGATTTTAAAATACACCAACTATTTTGAATGCTTTTTATAACGTTAAAATGAAGGTGGGGATGTTTACGGAGGCAACAAAACGATATCAAAAGGGATACAAGGACATGGTGGACAGGCCTCAGGATGGCTGAGAGGGCCACGGAGGTAGGGGTAGAACCCATACTACCCAGGCAGTTATTGTCAGGATTCTAGCTTTTGTCTGGAGGATTGGGTTTGGAGTACTCATCACTTGAGAAAACAAACAAACAAACAAACAAAAATAGCCAGATACATTTCAGAGCTGATCAAAGTCTATATTAAATGTTCAATTTAAAAAATATATTACAGTAAAAGACATTGCCATTATTCTCCATCAAAATACTCTCACTTTGAGCACACTTATCCCACCATTCTGAAGCAGCTCTGGAGGTCTCTCCTAAGTGTCTTTATGAGGTACAGTCAAAAATATGGGGAATGGCCAGGCGTGGTGGCGCATGCCTGTAATCCCAGCACTCGGGAGGCTGAGGCAGGAGGATCACTGTGAGTTCCTGAGTGCCTCCCGCAGAAAGCCAGGCTCGTGAAAACACATCTCAGCACACCCTCTCCCACTGTACTTACCAGCTCCGGAACCCTGCGATTTCTGACTCCTCCCCAGAGTCAAATGATCATGCAAGATACAGGTTTTGAATGGATTTCGGACAGAGGCAGCCACACAGGGCAACCAAGGATATTCATACAAGAGGACTTCAGAGCTGCTTCCCAAAGTGGCAAGAGCGATGGGATGAGTGTGTTCAAGCAAGGGGATTGGTTACAATGTATCTTTTACTATAACAACTTTTTTAATTGAAGCATCCGCTGTATTTTGTGATCATACTTCACAAATAAAAGTAGACAATGTATGGACCATGATAAGAGTTACAATTCTGAGATTGTGATTAACTCAATTCTATGTGCCTAGGACCCAATGAAAATAATAATAATAAAATTGAACAGAGTACAGATTAACAAGATTTGATTTGTTTGCATTTTAATGGAATTTCTTCAACTGTAGTGCATTGCATATCATCACTGAATTTGCTTACGAAGAAAAATGGGGCTAAGAAGACATTTCACATGGTTGTCACGAAACTTGATGATCTTTTTAAATAGGTAAAGCAGTTGACTCTGAATTAATTCACTTAATACTGATTCTTTACATCTTAATAATCACAATAATGCTGTGCTATTTCTTCCCATTTCTTGCTAAGATATGGATTATTTATGGCAAAAGGTATAGGTTTAGAATTAGAACATAATGGCTATCTGGTGACTCCAGACAAGATACCTGAGCTCGAAGAACGCAGCCTGCTCATCCGAAAAAAATGTAAATTGATATTGTATTGAATGCTTGAGAGCGGAGGCTGTGGGGAAGCTGTCACGTGGCACGTTGCATTTATTTGAATATTTTCTCTTCCTCTCTCTCAAGAATACAGAATAGGACTGATAGCCACTCTTTTTTTTTTTTTTTTTTTTTTTTTTTTTTTTTTTTTTTTTGTACCGGAGATCAAACTTGGACCTTGTGCTGACGAGACAGGCAGTGGAAGCACTGAGCTCAATCCCCAGCCCTGAGAGGCACACTTCTTGCTGTCACTCACTCGGTGGAAGTTAGAATAGCTTCATCAACAGCAAATAACATCATAACTTCACCGGAAATGAAAAGAAACTGCAAATCCCCATTACACAAAAACTTCCCCGCCTGTGGCCACCTCTCCTCTTCAGGTCATTGTAGCTGATGGGTTTTAAGACTCGAGCAAAGTAATTAAACAACAGCAGCTCAAATCACTTGTCAGGCAGATCGGTGCAGGTCAAACTTCCTACAGAGCAGGATGGAGAAGAATTAAAGGGAATTAAGTGGATACAGCAGCATCAAGGAGGTCCCCGAAAGCCAAAGCCATCCGGGCACCCGTAGGGCAGAGGGAAGCTGGCTGCCGTCAGGCGAAGAGCTGCACCCTCGGGAGGAGCCCACCCTGTGAGGACAGCAAGTGGAAGGGGGACGAGTGATGCCCCAGCTGGGACTGCTGAGGGTGCGCGGGATGTGAGGAAGTGCCACACACTGCCTCCTACACACACTCCACAGACACACTGTCTCTCTCTCCACAAACAGGGCTGGGGATTTGGCCCAATGGTTCTGCTGCCTGCCTCGCCAGCCCTTCCCGGTATTAAAAAAAAAAAAAACCACACAAACACACACACACTCCTCACGACACACACATGCACACACACACTGTCTCTCCATAAACATGTACAATGGAAACACACTCTCCACAAACATTCTCTTGCAAACACACAAGCATTACTTTTAGGAAAGCCTCAAGCAGAATACAATCTGTCTGAAAATGTTTGCATCCCCCCAGAAACACTGGGTAAGGGCATAATGATGGTTTACTTCTTCAAGTTATCACCCTAATGGGTATGAGAAATATTTGAGTCACTTATTCAGTCTATGGATCAGTTTTGAAGTGTATTCAGTGACCATGTACTACAAATGTGTCACCAATCAAAGTACGTATTCTACCAGCCCACTTGCTGTTACTATAACAACCACAGAACCCTGATGTAGGTGACTTCATAAAGAAGAGAGATAGATGTATTTCGCTCACATTGTTGGAGACTGGAAGCCCAAATTCAGGCAGTCACACTGGTTCTGCCACTAGGAGGCCTAACCACAGATGGCATCATAGCAGAAGTGTGCGAGTGTGTGTGTGTGTGTGTGTGTGTGTGTGTGCACATGTGTATGTAAGAGATCCTGTAAGACAGAAAGCCAGAGTAAACAGGGAGCTCCAGCTTGCTTCTAGCAGCCCTCTCACAGGAACTGGCCAGAGGCCCACGAGAGCTCCCTCACCCCTCGTGATGGCAGTGCTCACAATCACCTAAAGACCTCCTGCTAGGCTCCTTCTCTCCTGGGTTCCACACAACCTCTCATGTCACCACATGGGGACCAGCATCTAACACATGGGCAGTGGGGGACTCGCGTAAACTATGTCCAGCCATAGCAGGGGCACAAGGAAATAACCTGACTTGAGGCAGACAGAGAAGCAAACAGGAGGATGGGGGGGGCACTCTCACACAGTGCTCTTGGAGAAGAAATTTGAACTACTTTCGAAAATATGTTGCATCGTCTAAGAAAGTTTGAGATTCATATATCCTACAGCCCAATAACTCCATGCCTGAGTCATAGCCTCCACAGAAGAAAATACTTATTTTCACTTGAAGATATGGTCATAGAAGCATTATACTCAATCATAGTCCAAAACGGACAATGGAGAATACTGTACAGCAGTGAAAGTGAAGGAACTAAAGGCCAGAGGTTCAGCTCAGTGGTGCCAGTGCCTGCCTGGCAAGCACAAAGTCCTGAGTTCATCCCTGGTTCCATAAAAATTTAAAAAAGAAAAAGAAAGTGGAGGAACTATAGTTTTACACAGTAATGTGGATGAATCTTTAAAATGAAATGAACAAGACAGTAATACTCAAAAATATTTAGTCAATAATTCTATGTATATAAAGTTCAAAATCATGGGAAAACTACATTAATTTTAGAGGGGCATTTATAGAAAGTAAAACCATAGAGCAAAATAAAGAAGAAAGGGGACTGTGATTTATACAGGGATTAATTTTATGTATCACTTGGCCAGTCTGCCAATCCCAGATACTCTGTAAAATATGACTTCAAACTTTTCAATAAAAGAGTTTTCTAGATACAGATTTTGGGGGGGGTTTTTTTGTTTGTTTGTTTGTTTTTGGTACCAGGGATCAAACTAGTGACCCTGCCCTTGCGAGGCAGGCAGCAGCACCACTGAGCTAAATCCCCAGCCCCTAGATATGGAGATTTTTGAGTCAAGCTATTCACCTTCTGTGCCATGGGTAAGCCTTATCCAATCAGTTGAAGGTCTTCAGAGAAAAAGCCTGAGGTCCCTGGAAAAGAAAAAGATATCTCCAGGTGAGCTGCAGGATCAGCTCTCCCCTGAGTCTCCACCATGCAGACCTGTCCTACAGAGTTCAAACTTGCCAGCCAGTGTAGCAATACTCAGTTTCTTACCCCAGGTGGTAGTTACATAGGTGTCACCTCATAGTTTATGAAGCACTATTGATGTTTTATATACTCTTGCATATGCATTCTATATTTTACAACAAAACTATTACTTTTTGACTAGCATTGAGACGTTCACAAAGAGGTACTAAATGACACTTTGTACTGGATGGCTGGGGGGTTATAATAAAATACCCAAACATCAGTATGCCACATCTTCCAGCGAATTATTTTTTGCTCCTCCAACTCCCTAAAAACTGAAGACTCCTTGTCATGAATATTACATAACCTTATCTGCATCTCATTTTGCATGCTTCCTCAGTTACACCCTAAGGTCCTCAATGGAAAGACAGCTCTCTTTAATCCCTGCATCTACTTTAGAGCCTGCAACACACCATAGAAGCTCAATAATGATTTCCTAGGAATAAAGGAACTGGCTAACTAATAACTAATAATACTTTGCTGATTATTAATAATAATAAGGTCGAGGCACAGATTAAAGTGATTTAAAATGGCATAGAGATGGGCATTCTAGGCTTTCTGAAGGGCAGTAGGGTCTCAGCAGAGAAACAAAACACAAGATTTCCTCTTTCTCTTAGCCTTCCAGCTAGAGAGAAACGCAACTGTTACTAAGGCATTCAAGAGTCTTTTAAAACACACCAGTGATCCTCCTGTGGAAACGGCCTTTCATTTCCATCCAGTGTGCATGGGATCCAAAGTCTTTTTTTTTTTTTTTGGTACCGGGGATCGAACTCAGGTCCTTGTGCTTGCGAGGCAGGCACCAGAACCACTGAGCTCTGTCCCTGGCCAGGATCCAAATTCTTACGTAGAATCGTTCAACACAGGATATGAAAGGTTAAGGTCCTCAGACTGATTAGATTGAGTTTTGTCCGCAGACCTGAGTTACACTTGCCAGTGATTTAAATGGTGGGCAATGTATCTAAATGTGCACCTTGGCTTAGTACAATTGTCTTATACATTTTAGATGTTCTTCGTCCTGCTCGTCTGGTTTTTCAATCTGCATATATGATAATTAACTTTATAAGGTCCTATAACATAAATAAATGAATCTGATGTGGAAAAATAAAAAGAGGTGGAGGAGGGGCTAAAGTAGGGAATTATGCATGTAAAATAAATTAAGTAAAATGTAATAAATAAGTGATCGATGTGCCATCGAGCAGGCTCCCCCACTAAGGAAGTAGACTTTCACTTTCTGTGCTCTGACCTCATGTGCTCCAGTGGTTGGGACAACCCTCCGGCGATGCCAGTGCCAGCACAGGGACGGTCAGCCTGTGCGCTGTCTGGGGGCCGCAGCTTGAGCCCTTCTCTTCCCCGCAGAGCCCTCCTCATTGCTTTCTTTCTCTTTAGATATTGTCTTCTTTTTCCTTTGCTACATATGGACTCCTGATGCAGCTTTCCTAACGCTATAGCTTTTTTCTTTAATTTATTATACTCATTTTTTTAAACGTGAGACATGCTCCATAACTGAATCCAATGTTAGCAATAACAGGAAGAAGACGGCATCACAAAAAAAGCAGAGAAAACCAGAGATGGGAAAGTGTCTCCGCAGACGGATGAAATGGTGGTGTTCTCCAGCGTGATTTATGTTGCTCTTAGCTGCTAATTCCCAGTGGCCTCTTCTGCTGGTTCTCTAATAGGAGAGGGAACGATCTACGGTTTGACCCAGAATGAGCCGGGAATGACGGACGGCTGGGCCGGCTGTGATCGCGCTCTGTGCATGCGCAGAAAACCTCCCTGCCCGGGCTGCGAGCTGCGCTCAGTGGGGTTGCAATTCCCACGGAGGCCGGAGCCCTAAATACCACAGTGTGGCTCCACCTGTTCTGGGGGTGCTGTGTGCTGTAAACCGTTTACCCCCGATTCACAGAGAACGTTCACTCCTTGACTCGAAGCAGAAAGCAAAGCACATTCGGCGGTAATTATGGAACCCACGGTGTTTAAGGTTTTATTTTGTATTTACTTTTGTTGGCACAGTTTGCGGCACATAGTGACTACATTCCCTGTGGGGAGTGAGTGCTGGGATGTAGCTCAGTGGTTCCGCTGCCTGCCTCATAAGCACAAGGTCTGGAGTTCAATCCCCGGCACCAGAAAAAAAAAAAAATCACACTGTGGGGAGTGGTATGTAGACATCTCAATGCTTTCTGTGTGCCTTTCCATCTCTTGGTCCTCTTTCCTTCTGCAGATCTATCTCCCTGTTTCCTATTATGTCTCTTATTTCGCTCTTTATTTATACTTTAGGTTTTTCATATAGGAGAAACCATGCAATATCGAAGCTTGAGTGTCTGATTTATTTCACTTAACATTATGATCTCAAGGTGCATCCATTTTTCTGCAAATGTTGTTTTAATCAAATGTGTTTCCTTACATAAAAGTAAAGATTCTTTTGAAAACAAAATAGAGACAGGGGAAAGCACGCCTCCTGTCCTAACGCTCGGAGGGTAACCGCTGCTGCTGTGTTCTCACGTGTTCTTGGGGCGCGTTCTACGTGAAGGTGCTCAGACTGTCTGTGTCACCTGACATCCATGTGTTAAGGTTTCCATGTGAGACCCGTGAGAGGGGATTAGATTTAGATGATGAAGCCTTTGTCATGGGATTAGCTCCTTTAGAAGAGCAGAAAACCACCCTGGAACTCCCTCTCATCCCTCTCGGTACAAAGAAGAGGCCTGTGCGCAGGCAGGGAGAAAAGCAGCCCTCCCCAGGAACCAAGTCAGCCGAGACTTGACCCTGGATCCCCAGCCTCAGCACTGAGAGGAAGCAGTTTCTGCAGTTTAAGCTGCCAAGTCCAGGGCATTTTGTAGCTCAGACTGACACAGGCATCTTCGATTTGCATCAGTGATTGGCATCCTCTCGCTGTCATCCTCCTTGTTTTCCTGGTCCAGGTGAGAAATGTTCCATATGAAGAAAAGACAGGCTTGTCACATAGATGTTCCTCTCTACAGCACAGGGATTAAAATCAAGGCCTCCAGACTGTCTGTGATTACATCCATCCCAGGTTAGCTGGGTGCTGGTGGGCAAGCTATTTGACCTGTTTGTGCACCAATCTCCTCGATTAAAATGGGTTCTTCTCGAGAATAAATTAGTAAATATGTGTATAGGATTTACTCCAGTTGCTTTTGTTTTTGGAGACAAGGTCTCGCTGTGTAGCCCAGGATGGCCTCAGTCTTGATGATCCTCCTGCCTCCTCCACATCCTTCAGCTCTGGGATCACAGGTGTGTACCACATCCATTGTGTGTTTATCTTTCTACACGAATTCACTATTATTCCTACTGACCACCAGGAAGAGACCACTAAGAGTCTAAAATATGAAGAGGAAGGCAGAGAGGCATGGGGAGGCAAGGAGAGGAAAAGAAACCAAAAAGAGAGACAGGGCTCCTTGGCAGTTCCTGAGGCCAGCTCCTTTAGGATAAAAAAAAAAATCATATAAAAGAAATTGTCCCAACCCCAGCCTGGAGTGGATCATTTTCCGTACTGTATAATTCAGATTCTGTAAGGAAAGTATTCCTGATGAAATGATTATGCAATTTTCTGGTAAACTGTAATGAGATTAAAACTTGTTCTGGGAAACTATGCCCTGTGCTGATTGCCAGCCAAGAGTCTAGTTAGTGGCCACACATCACTGGGGTGGGAACAGTTCCAGGTTTGTTTTGGTCTAATCAGTAACGGTGCGTCCTTGCTCTCTCAAACATGGCCCATGAGACAATGAGTTCATGGGACAAATATATATAGTTCCACAAAATGATTGTCTGACCATCCCCTTCTCTTACAAATTTAATTTTTAGAATATACATCCTTTTCTTTTGTAGAAAGATTAAAATGAAATTTTTACACATGGTCTTAACTAAACTGTCAGAAAACATTTTTATTTAAGAAAAATGTTATAGGTAAGGCAGGAGGTATCTTGTGCAATCCTCCAATATGCATATGATTTGTTCAAATAAGTTTGTTGCCAACAACTGGAAGTTGAAATTGAAAATATAATAATATTTACATTAGCACATGACGTACTTAGGTATGCATGTTTAAATATAAAGATTTGTAAGAAGAAATTACAGAATTCTCATATAAGTAATCAGATATCTAAATAACTGAAAGACATTCCATGTACATGGATAAGAAGACAATATTATTGAGATGTCAGCTGTTCCCAATTTGATCTATAGATTTGATGCAGTTTCAATCAAAATCTCAGCAAGTTATTTTATAGATGTTGACACACTGATTCTGACATTTGTAGGGCTACACAAAAGACTCAGAATAGATAACACTGTACTAAAGAAGAACAAAATGGGACTGTGACATCCCTTCAAGATCTACTCTGCAACTACAGGAACCAAAGCAGTGTGATGTTGGTGAAGAGACAAATAGATCAAGGGAACAGAAGAGCAGGCAGACACAAATACAGGCTACTGATCTTGGAGAGAGGGCCAAAAGCAATTCAATGGAGAAAAGATCCTTTTTTCAACAATATTTGCTGATACTCCTGGACATCTCCAGGCAGCAAAATGAATCTAGAAACAGATAGGCCTCACACTTTTCACAAGAAATAATGTAAAATGAATTATAAGTCTAAACATAAATTGCAAAACTATAAAACTCCCAGAAGAGAACATCAGAAAAAATGTAAATGACCTTGGGTTTAGTGATGACTTTTTGAAGATAGCACCCAAAATATAATCCATGAAGAAAAGAGTAATAAATTACACTTTATTAAAATGTAAATTTCCAGGTCTGTACAACACATTGTTCAAAGAATGAAATAACAAAATACAGATTTAGAGAAAATATTTATGAAACACATATATAATAGAGGACTGGTAGCCAAAAGGAACAAAGAAAGTTTAAAACCCAACTACAGGAAAACAAGGAC